TCAGGGTGCCTGACGATCTGTTACAGTATGTGATACTAGACTTTCACTACTGCAAGGGTGTCTCTTTAAATGCACCTATACAGATTATATATTTTTATTTAAAAAAGAAACAAGAAGCAATGGATAAAGGGCTTACAACACAACGTACCGAGTGATAGGATAACCACAACGCAGCATGCATGGGTAAACAACCAGACACTTAACTAGGAGCACAGGGAGAGTTCTTCTAGACGGGGATCTGCTGCGGGAAAGACATTGTAGATCACAGTACTTACACAGAGATAGGAGGCTCACAAATCAATGGCTGGCTATCAATGCAGGGAGCTGCTGCTGCCCAACAGACGTGGCTTTGGGGACTTTACCCTCTGTGTGAAAGGCTGATCATGTGATGAGGATCCCAGAGGTGGCTTGAATTAAATAGAATTGTGGGTAGTTTATAAACTGCCAGATAAACGAAATCTGATCAGTATGCTGCAGTAACGCCAGAGGACAAGACACACACCAAGTCGGAAATATTACTACAGAACAACCTTCTATTCAATACAAAACAAACACAGAAACAACGGATTAAAATTAACCCACCAAGATGCGGAATGAAAATTATATTGCCATTTCTTGCATAATATGGAGTTTATTTACCGAATAGTGAACTGTAGCAAACTGAGAAATGAAAAATCAGACTTAAATAGATGAAACCAGTTAGAGGCACAGCTTGGTTAATTTAAACAGAATTTTGCAATTTGATTTCCAATTCACCGCGCTGTGCAGCAAATAAACTCCTTGTAAACTGGTGTACGAGTAATGAGCCACGATAAGCGCAGTTCACATAACCACAGAAGAAGGATGGGCCAATGTCATTAAAAGAACACTGCAGACACCAAAACAACTTTGTCTAAATTAAGTTGTTATGGTGCCAGGAGGCACTCTCCCCTCCAGGGGTTAAAATGTTTTCGAATGGTTTAATTCTAAAGTTGCCGTTGCAGCATTCGACTTCAGGAAGCGTGGAGTGCCGCTGTTCAGAGGCGTCACTGATTGGCTAAAAGAGGTCACCTGACGCTCTCAGCCAATCAGTGACTTCGAGGGATGCACCGAAATTTCGGCTGCCGAAATTTTTGGCCCGAAAATGGGCCTATTTACCAAAATTAAAAAATTAAAAACCGTAAAACATATCACAACAATGATATTGTCTGTGAAAGTGCAGTTTTTTGCATTTTTCACACACAATTGGCACTTTCACTGACATAATTGTTGTGATAAGTTGTAATTTTTGGAAACACTAATATTTGTGTTCAGCGAAGTCTCTCGAGTATAACAGTACCCACCATGTACAGGTCTTATGGTGTTTTAAAAAGTTAGAGAGTCAAATATAAGGCTTGCATTTCCATTCTTTCACATTAAAATTCGCCAGATTGGTTACGTTGCCTTTGAGACCGTAGGGTAGCCAAGGAATGAGAATTACCCCCATGATGGCATACCATTTGCAATAGTAGACAACCCAAGGCATTGCAAATGGGGTATGTCCAGTCTTTTTTAGTAGCCACTTTTAGTATACCACATTTGCATTACCTTGGGTTGTTTACTATTGCAAATGGTATGCCATCATGGGGGTAATTCTCATTCCTGGGCTACCCTACGGTCTCAAAGGCAATGTAACCAATCTGGCAAATTTCAATGTGGAAAAACTGAAAAATTTAACATGCTATATTTGACCCTGTAACTTCCCAAAACACCATAAAACCTGTACATAGGGGGTACTGTTTTACACGTGAGATATCGCTGAATGCAAATATGTGTACTTTATTGCAGTAAAAGCAAACAGTATTATGACATTCCCAGTTAGAATGTGACGTAGAACTAAACATTTTTAAAATTCTTATTTTCGCAATGTGTTACATTTGGCTCAGTCATTAAGGGGTTAACGGTCACTGTCACAATGTGTTACATTTGGCTCAGCCATTAAGGGGTTAACGGTCTCTGTCACAATGTGTTACATTTGGATCAGCCATTAAGGGGTTAACGGTCCGTTAGAATGTGTTACATTTGGCTCAGCCATTAAGGGGTTAACGGTCTCTGTTAGAATGTGTTACATTTGGCTCAGCCATTAAGGGGTTAACGGTCTCTGTCAGAATGTGTTACATTGGGCTCAGCCATTAAGGGGTTAACGGTCTCTGTCGCAATGTGTTACATTTGGCTCAGCCATTAAGGGGTTAACAGTCTCTGTCACAATGTGTTACATTGGGCTCAGCCATTAAGGGGTTAACGGTGTCTGTTAGAATGTGTTACATTTGGCTCAGCCATTAAGGGGTTAACGGTCTCTGTCACAATGTGTTACATTTGGCTCAGGCATTAAGGGGTTAATGGTCTCTGTCAGAATGTGTTACATTTGGCTCAGCCATTAAGGGGTTAACGGTCTCTGTCGCAATGTGTTACATTTGGCTCAGCCATTAAGGGGTTAACGGTCTCTGTCAGAATGTGTTACATTCGGCTCAGCCATTAAGGGGTTAACGGTCTCTGTCAGAATGTGTTACATTCGGCTCAGCCATTAAGGGGTTAACGGTCTCTGTCGCAATGTGTTACATTTGGCTCAGCCATTAAGGGGTTAACGGTCTCTGTTAGAATGTGTTAGATTTGGCTCAGCCATTAAGGGGTTAACGGTCTCTGTCGCAATGTGTTACATTTGGCTCAGCCATTAAGGGGTTAACGGTCTCTGTTAGAATGTGTTACATTCGGCTCAGCCATTAAGGGGTTAACGGTCTCTGTCGCAATGTGTTACATTTGGCTCAGCCATTAAGGGGTTAACGGTCTCTGTCGCAATGTGTTACATCTGGCTCAGCCATTAAGGGGCTAACGGTCTCTGTCAGAATGTGTTACATTCGGCTCAGCCATTAAGGGGTTAACGGTCTCTGTCAGAATGTGTTACATTCGGCTCAGCCATTAAGGGGTTAACGGTCTTTGTTAAAATGTGTTACATTTGGCTCAGCCATTAAGGGGTTAACGGTCTCTGTCAGAATGTGTTACATTCGGCTCAGCCATTAAGGGGTTAACGGTCTCTGTTAGAATGTTACATTTGGCTCGGCCATTAAGGGGTTAACGGTCTGTTAGAATGTGTTACATTTGGCTCGGCCATTAAGGGGTTAACGGTCTCTGTCAGAATGTTACATTCGGCTCAGCCATTAAGGGGTTAACGGTCTCTGTTAGAATGTGTTACATTTGGCTCAGCCATTAAGGGGTTAACGGTCTCTGTCGCAATGTGTTACATTTGGCTCAGCCATTAAGGGGTTAACGGTCTCTGTCACAATGTGTTACATTTGGCTCAGGCATTAAGGGGTTAACGGTCTCTGTCAGAATGTGTTACATTTGGCTCAGCCATTAAGGGGTTAACGGTCTCTGTCGCAATGTGTTACATTTGGCTCAGCCATTAAGGGGTTAACGGTCTCTGTCAGAATGTGTTACATTCGGCTCAGCCATTAAGGGGTTAACGGTCTCTGTCAGAATGTGTTGCATTCGGCTCAGCCATTAAGGGGTTAACGGTCTCTGTCAGAATGTGTTAGATTTGGCTCAGCCATTAAGGGGTTAACGGTCTCTGTCGCAATGTGTTACATTTGGCTCAGCCATTAAGGGGTTAACGGTCTCTGTCAGAATGTGTTACATTTGGCTCAGCCATTAAGGGGTTAACGGTCTCTGTCGCAATGTGTTACATTTGGCTCAGCCATTAAGGGGTTAACGGTCTCTGTCGCAATGTGTTACATTTGGCTCAGCCATTAAGGGGTTAACGGTCTGTTAGAATGTGTTACATTTGGCTCAGCCATTAAGGGGTTAACGGTCTCTGTCGCAATGTGTTACATTTGGCTCAGGCATTAAGGGGTTAACGGTCTGTTAGAATGTGTTACATTTGGCTCGGCCATTAAGGGGTTAACGGTCTCTGTCAGAATGTTACATTCGGCTCAGCCATTAAGGGGTTAACGGTCTCTGTCGCAATGTGTTAGATTCGGCTCAGCCATTAAGGGGTTAACGGTCTCTGTCGCAATGTGTTAGATTTGGCTCAGCCATTAAGGGGTTAACGGTCTCTGTCACAATGTGTTACATTTGGCTCAGCCATTAAGGGGTTAACGGTCTGTTAGCAATGTGTTACATTTGGCTCAGCCATTAAGGGGTTAACGGTCTCTGTCGCAATGTGTTACATTTGGCTCAGCCATTAAGGGGTTAACGGTCTCTGTTAGAATGTGTTACATTTGGCTCAGCCATTAAGGGGTTAACGGTCTCTGTCGCAATGTGTTACATTTGGCTCAGGCATTAAGGGGTTAACGGTCTCTGTCGCAATGTGTTACATCTGGCTCAGCCATTAAGGGGCTAACGGTCTCTGTCAGAATGTGTTACATTCGGCTCAGCCATTAAGGGGTTAACGGTCTCTGTCAGAATGTGTTACATTCGGCTCAGCCATTAAGGGGTTAACGGTCTTTGTTAAAATGTGTTACATTTGGCTCAGCCATTAAG